CCTCGGGGGCCTTCGTACAGATCCTGAGATCCCACTCCAGGCAGCCCCACTTCTCCTCACAGCCCTTCATGATGAAGAGGGAAGGGGGAGAGGGTTTTTCCTGAGGGAGGAACAAGGAGGGTAGTGTAGAGGAAAGCCAGGACCATTTACATGGTGAATTAGTGCTCTGTTTTTAAAGGTACAGGCAACATTTCGGCAATCACAAAAATGGAAAATATTAAAGGTCCCACACCCTCCCCACCCTAAAAACTCACTTTTTACTTTCTTATTTCTTTTTTGTTCATATTAATATACATATATTTTCTCTTGAGTTGTAATTTATTTCCTCTTTCTGTAGATCACCTGAATTTTTATTTCAAAGCCCATTTCCATACAACAGAAGGAAATTTGGTCACTTCCACACCTAAGTGTGGCCAAATTCGGCAGTTTCTTGCTCTCCGCTATTTCTGCTCTGTATGCTGTCACTCAGCACAGCCCAGCCTTCTCCTCTCTTCCCCTCGCTGACACACTCGATCCTTGGTATGGATGGTAAGGGGCCCTGGATCTTTGCAAAGAGACTTCCAGCCCTCAGTGTTGATCTCTCCTGGGCCTGTTCCGGCATCTGCTTACCGTGACGTGGGGGCCTCCCCCTTCGCTTGTCAGACCTGCCTTTCCTCCACCTCTCCTCTGTTGCTGCTGCATCATGGGGCTGGTGGACCTTTCTCTGGGGTTCCCTGGGAAGCAAGATTATGATTCACACTCAGATCCTCATGGCTCCCCTATTCTGTTGGAAGGTGATGGGGTCTTTCCTGTTCTCCCCGGAATTCTGCTTGAGAGTTGTTTGAGAGTGAAGGGCAGGATCCCTGCACTGAGTCTCACTCTTTTGTCTATACTCTTGGCTCAGCTCAGAGGATCTCTACCCAGTTCCCCAGATCTAAGAAGTTGATATCTTGTGCCCTGGTTCCTTTGTGAGAGTACCACCTGAGAACAATGCCTGCTTCATATCTCCAGGCACAGGGTGAGGGAAGGGAATGCATTTAAGGGGAAAAGTTATCGCATATTTCATAGTATCAACCTGCCACATCTGTAATTGTCTTATGATTGTAACTTTGCATTAGGGGCCATTTTAACACAGTCCCAGCAGTATTTTGCTAGTAAGTCATCATCGTGGTCATTTTCGTGGCTGCAAAATGATCACTCTTTGAGTGGCTGTAACATAATTTAATTAACCATCCTCCATTATTGGACATTGATTTCCAGTTTTTAGATATTAGACCCAGCACTGCTATGAGAGTTTGTGAGGTTTGAAAGAAAACTTATTTTAACAAAAAGCCTGAGAAAGCAATTTTATAAAATTGTTCTGAACTGCAGTGGGTGAAGCGATTGCCTGCATGAAGGCTTGGAGCCCACTAGCTCTTACCTTGTGTTTTTTAAGATCATAAATAATTCTGCACATTAGGAGCTCAGGTTCTTGCCCTAAGCTGATGGCTACCATCTGCACCACCCCGACTTTATGAGCATGCAGTGTTTCAGAATCCTTGGCAGCTGAGAGCTATTGTTTTCTGGGGATGTGATCAAGGAAGGAGATTAGACATAGTATCGCATAGAATTTTTCTCTTCATTGGCTTAAACTCAGCCATAATTTTATGGTTTGAAATCCAGGAGCCCCTTTTTCTACAACAGTGAAAATCTAAGTCATTTCTGCTAACTGGCTGAACACAGTTTAAAATTTTCATCATTCAAGAAATTCAAGAACTGCTGCATTGTAAAAGGCAGAGACCTCAATATGGAGCTAACAGTCTCAAGAACAAGAAAACGTGGACATTCTGATTCCTACAAACTAAATTTGCAAGAATATTTTATCTGAAGACACTTCCCAATATTCCACATATGAGGTCCTCTGTTTTGAGGTCATTTCTGCTCTTATAAAAGGGAACCATCTTGTACAAACAGAATCACAAACCCTTGGTTTTTAAGACCGTTGGTATCACTCCGAAGTGGTATTCCCATTTCACGACTGTGAAGAAATGACTGACGTGGGTCAGCATCCATAAGAAAATAGGTATTTCGGGCGCCTGGGTGGCTCAGTCGGTTAAGCGACTGCCTTCCGCTCGGGTCATGATCCTGGAGTCCTGGGATCGAGTCCCACATCGGGCTCCCTGCTCAGCAGGGAGTCTGCTTCTCCCTCTGACCCTCCCCCCTCTCATGTGCTCTCTCTCTTTCATTCTCTCTCAAATAAATAAATAAAATCTTTAAAAAAAAATAAAATTCTACCATAGAATTAAAAAAAAAAAGAAAATAGGTATTTCGATTGGAGGGGGAGACGAACCATGAGAGACTACGGACTCTGAGAAACAAACTGAGGGTTCTAGAGGGGAGGGGGGGTGGGGGGATGGGTTAGCCTGGTGATGGGTATTAAAGAGGGCACGTATTATAGGTGTTATACACAAGCAATGAGTCATGGAACACTACATCAAAAACTAATGATGTAATGTGTGGTGATTAACATAACATAATAAAATTTAAAAAAATAAGAAAGTAGGTATTTCAAAGTAGTAAAAAATTAGAAACAATTTAAACACCCCTTGATAGAGAACTGCTTTAAATATCATGGTAAGGATGTATGTGGAATTCTGTATCACTGTTGTTAAAAATGGACAAGGTACAGGCATAAATAAAAATAACATTCGTAAAAGTGTTTATAGTATTCTAACATTTGCACAGAAAAGTACATATATATGCTTATAAATGCATAGACTATTTCTGGAAGAACATAGAAGGCAATAGGAGTTGCCCTCAAGGAGGGGAAACAGTGCTTGGGGACAAAGGAGAGAGAGAATTTTGTTTTCATCATATAATCTTCCACCTCTTAAATTTTGTACTCTGAGCAATATATTACCCATTAGGAAATATAAGTTAATTGGTGATTCCTCAAAAGGCTAAATATAGAATAAATCTATGAGCCAGCAGTGTCATTCCTGGGTAAATACCCAGAAGAACTGAAAACAGGGACAGAGCTTCTGGATGCCAATGTTCACTGCAACATGAGTCACAGGAGCCAAAAGGTACCCATCAACCGATGACTGGATAAACAACATGGGGACTACACCTACAGTGCAATATTATTCAGCCACAAGAAGGGAAGAATTCCTGACACGTGGATGAATCTTGAGGACGTTTTGCTAAGTGGAGTAAGTCATACAGGAAAGGACAAATATTGTATGGTTCCACTTAGATGAAATATCTCGAATGGTAAATTCAGAGATGCAAAGTAGATGAGAGGTTACGGGGCTCGGAGGGAGGGAAAATGTAGGTGTTATTGCTCAACTATCACAGAGTTTCTGCTTAGGGTCATGAAAAAGTTGTACAAGTAGATATCATGATGGTTGCACAAGTGAATGTAATTAATGCCACTGAATGGTTAAAAATGGTTAAAATGACCGCTTTTGTGCTATGTATATTATACTGCAATAAAAATTCAAATAAAATGTAATTTAAAGAAAGACTTAATTTAACTTTTGCAGCTTAATCTCTTCTCTACCAGTGGCTTCCCAGAAACAAACCTGCTTCCAACTTGACCCCATTCTCCCAAAGCAGATAGTACCAAGTGCATATTGTGTACGCACTGCCCAAAATAGAAAGATGTGTGGACATATGTCCTGGACTTCAGAAGAGCTTATCACCATAGCCTAGGCAGCAGATCTGTGTGTCACTATCGTGTAAAGCAAAAAGAATGCTGAATAGACATCCCTGCCATGTGCCATGAGAGTGCAGAGGCAGGAGCAAACCAGCTTTGACTGGAAGATTCAGGATGGTTTGACCAAGGAAGGTGCCTTTCAGCTGCCCTGGAAGGAGAAGTGGGATTCTGTGAGCAGAAAGGGTATTCCAGACTCAGAAGGCATATGAGCCAACCTTCCTTAGTAGGGAGGGATACATCTGAGCAAAGGGCAGTAGTCTGGCACTGGGCTGTGGGTCTGGGAAGATCCTATGGGAAGGCGATTCTGGAAAGGCAGTTGAGGCCAGATGGTGTCCATTTTTAAGTGTCTGGCTTAACTCATTTGGACTTTTAAATGCTGGCAATGGGGAAATAGCTTAGGTATTCCTTCTGTTCTTCTTTCCCTGCTATCTTGTTTATCATTTAAGGATGTGAGCCTCTTACCCTTATCAGGCAGAGAAGTTGAAGAGTTTACTTTTTTTAAATTAATTTTTCCAACTCAAACTACGTTTGCCATCTAGTGATTAATTCATGCCATTGCAACAACCTAATTCCGATGCCTTGTTCCTCAGCAGAGCAGTTAGGCTCATGGGCCTCCAGACTCCTGGTGCTAGCCATCACTTCTGCCCGGAACTTCACTGCCCATGAACCCTGATACAAACATTGGTGCTCAGACACACTGTAATGAAATCTGACTCCTCAGAGAGGAGCAATAATATTCACGTGAAAGAAAAATGTAGTTGTTTAGAAGAAAGTGATCCTTAGAAATCAAGTATTAAGAAGAGGTTAAATAGCAGCATCTTTTTGTGACTATGGATCTCTCAGATCTATGGACAAGATTTCTCGACCACATAGATACCACAGACATTTTCAGCTTTCACTTCCTGCTGTGTATCCTATAAAGAGAGACAGGGATACCTGCCGGGCTCTGAGCAAGGTACTAATGGATACAACTTGTTATATGTAAAACTATTATGATAACGTCTTTTTCAAAACTTTGTTATAACCCCCACCCCACCTTCCATGGGATCCAAGCATGGGTTGATTACAGTGGCTTTTCTCCTAGGAAGAATTATGCTGCAGAGAGATAGTAGAGTTCCCACTCTGTTGCCAAGTTCAGCTTATTTTTTAGGTTGTTATGAACTGTTACCTCGATAGCAGCTTCTGGCCTCCAATCCAACAGCACCTTCCAAGCCCTGAAATGGGATAGAATGTATTGTAGGAAGCCATTAGCTCAGTCTCTAAAACCGTGTGAACTGCTTAGCTATCATTTTTTGGTGAATGGCTCTGCATCTGACTTTTGTAGGGAAAGCCGTAGATACCGGGTGTATGTGGTGGTACCACTGCTTCCAGGATTTGAAGGCGACATCTCAACCGGTGGAGGAAATGCTCTGCAAGCCATAATGCACTTCAACTACAGGTGCCAAAGTTTTAAAGTCATCTGTTTTCAGCTTTCTCTCAGTCACGCACGTAAGCTGGTGAAAGGAATGGAAATGTTTCTCCACATCTATTCGGGGAGTGTTGAACAGATGAATGCTTTATTTTACTTTTGGATCTTGGCCTGTTTACTAGTTGATAAAATTCAAATAGAGCCTAAAATTGTAAATGGCAGGCCTAGAACACATGGCAAATATAAAAAGAACTGAAATATAAATCTCTCTTTTATATTCATTGCCTATACACAAGACATACATATACATGTATCTTATAAATGGAGACAAGGACTTTATATGTATATGTATATACATATATACATAATAATATTTATGTGTAATATTGGTTTAAAAATTATCTTTAAGCCACCACAGTTATTGAGCGTTCCATATTCTGTGAAGAAAAGAATTTAATGCTTCAAGTAGTATGGTTTTCTAGGTGTTTATGATTCTTTAGGTAGTGAGGTTTTCAACAAGGTTGGTAATGATGGCCTTTGCCAATATATGAAGTATGAAGGTTCTTTCCTACCTCCTGGGATTTTAATTGTGCTTTCTCTGCCACATCTTTGTTAAAATTTTAAGGAAAGTATTAAATCCTATTCTCAATATTCTAAAAAGCAGAATTGCCATATTCACTCAAAAAGACCTGTGAAGCTTCAAACTTGGCCGGTAGAACATTATGAGGAGGGTTGGGAGGTATGTCTGGTGAGCAGACACAGAGAGGTGGTGTGGCAAGTGATGGAAGGGCCCCGCTAACATTCTCTCTAGGTTACTTAGCTAGGAAAGAGAATGGCAGTGAAGAGGAAAGTGGACAGGTCTGGGCATGAATCCCAGCTCCCAGTAACAAGAACTGTGACCTGAGATACAAAAGAGCTCTGCTCAGGATCACACTTGTTCTAAGTCAGAGCAAGGATTAAAACCTGGATATCTTCTCTTAATAGCCCTTGTCTTTCAGAACCATCTGTAGCTTCCCAACTTTCTAACCAAACCCTTTTGTCGGAGAGGAAGCAATGAGACTTTACACAGAACCCCTAATGTGTAAAGCAGATAAGGTTTCAGGCACTTGGTCAAATGGTGGGGAGGGGCATAGATGCCCTCCTGCTGCCCACCCCCACAGGTACCCCCTGCAGGATCTGAGGGTCCTCGGCACAGTTGGTGGGCACCATTGTGCGGTGGTTTGTTTTGTTTTTTTTTTTTTTTAGTCTTCTCATTTTTTACGGACTTTTTGAGGTATGCCTGTCTGCCGGGATCTATGTATGTGTGTGTGTGTGTGTGTGTATTTTTTTTTTTTAGATTCTTGTGGGGTAATTTTGCCTGGTTACAGTATGAGAGAACTTTATGCTTTGGTCTATATGCTTTGATTGAAGATTTGCCCATTTCTAATATTATCTGATTTATAACATGACAAACAAAGCTTTTCATGTATTTAAGGCACTGACATAATGTTTAATTGGATTTTATCCACTTGGTTTGCCATTCTAATATTATTTTTGGAATGTTGTCAATTGTAATTATTTTCGATGACTGTTTTCTTGGGTTTGAACCAACTGAATGAAATAACATGCTTGGCTTTTGTTCAGCAACTAAATTCTAACCTTTTATTATGCAAAAACATCTCTATTTGCTGGCATCATCTTTAAGAATATCAGTATTTCCCAAGTGTAACTGTATTTTTAATTATTTTTACAGAGCAAGCAGATGGAGCATAGAATTTTTTTTTTTTTTTTGGTTTGTCAGTCTTTATAATTCATTGACTATTATCACAGTTGTGAGAAACAAAATCATTAGCAGAGTCAGTTATTTGAGACTGTTTTTCACTTTTAAGGCATTTGCCAACTTTGCGGAGACAGCCTCGGTATAGAGTTTAGCTCTGAAATTATTCTGCTAAGTGTTTGCCCTTTTAAGCACCTCTGAAAGTAACGTGAGTCTGTTAGTGTTCTTGCCTGTTGAGGTATTCTAAATTTATCTTTGCTGTCACCGAATTTTCTAAGAGGGAAAGTTCATTCATAGCCCATCTTTTTAAAATAGCACCTTTTTATGAAATCTAATATCAATTTTATGACTTTTCCATTTACCTACCTCAAAACAACTATCTTGTCCCATCAGTGACATTACAAAAGTGATATCCAGGTGGGGCTTTTTTGTTTTTAGTTTGTTTTTTTTTTAAGATTTTATTTATTTATTTGAGAGAAAGAGAGCACATGAGAGGGGGGAGGGTCAGAGGGAGAAGCAGACTCCCCGCCGAGCAGGGAGCCTGATGCGGGACTTGGTCCCAGGACTCCAGGACCATGACCTGAGCCGAAGGCAGTCGCCCAACCAACTGAACCACCTTTTTTTATCTTTTTAAATCCATGTAGCATCTTCTCATAAAAGCACTTTTCTGTTTTTACTTGGGGTAGGACGATACTCCACAGATATTGCAAGTTGGGATTGGTTCCTTTGAAACCTCCATAATTATTTCTTTCCTTTACATGTGCTCAGGACCATGTGCAGAGGAGAAAATTCCATCCTTGGACAGTTAAAAGCAAAGCGTAAGTAACAGCTTTTATTTTCCTCCACAGTTATTTTTGGTGACATATCCGTAATCATTGATGTTTTCACAATGTGATTGTGACCCTCTGTTCACAAAAGGTAGCCTACAAAATGTTTAACTGAGACAAATTACTTATTCTCATTACATTGCCCAAAGCGAAGTTCAAATGAAGACGCCACAACCTCAGATGCATAGGTTATAAAAAATGAGTATTTTATTGTTTATTTTTATGTATTTATACTAATTATTTTGACAGTAAGTGAGATTTGTAAGGCACTTCACAGGGACCCTCCATGTGTCTTCTGCAGTCCTTCACCACAGTCCTGGGGTGTAAGCAGGACAGGTGTCATTTCTGCTTTAAAGCTGAGGGCACAAATGCTGCAAAGTCAACAGATCTTCCTACGGCCTCCTATTATGCAGAAGTCCCAAGGTTGTCACAATACTGCCTTATATTTAGGGAAGAAAACTGATTTTATTTATTTATTTTAGACTAAACCTTTAAACCTTTGAAGGTATTGTACTTAGAGGTAAATAAATCAGAAATAAGCTCACAGTAATAACTTTCACTTCTGTAGTTCTTCACATTTTCAAAGGCACTTTCTCAGATACCTTCTTTATTTTTAAGATTTTATTTATTTATTTATTAGGAGAGAGAGCATGTGCGCACGGGTTGGGGGAGGGGCAGAGGCAGAGGGAGAAGCAGATGCCCTGCTAAGCAGGGAGCCTGATGTGGAGCTGGATCCCAGGACCCTGGGATCATGACCTGAGCTGAAGGCAGATGCTCAAGTGACTGAACCACCTGGGTGCCCCTCAGATATCTTCTTAATTGACCCTTCTACGTAGCTCCCAGCTAGCAGGTATTGTAACTATGGGTTTACTTATCTATATCTCCTGATACTAAGTTCAGCACATAGTAGGTTCTTGATAATGTTCTATACCTTGTACAGTAGGTACAGAAGGTTCCACAAGAAGTAAGTTGGGATCAGAACCCAACTTGTAGGACCTCCAGTTCAGATTGGATACAGATTGTGCATACTTGCAGGGCCACATAAAAAGAACTAGATTTTAACCTGAAGAAGACAAGATAAGGTTGGTGGAAGCCTCTGCTCCCTGGAGTGAACCTATCACCATGGTGTTTTATGCAAAGATTCACTTACTGTTGGTAAGCAAAACAGAGAGAGACTGGTGGCAGGCAAGAGATCATGATGTATCAGAATGTGGGAAGAGGGGCACCTGGGTGGCTCAGTCAGTTAAGCAGCCAACTCTTGATTTCGGCTCAGGTCATGATCTTGGAGTCCTGGAATTGAGGCCCACATCATGCTTCATGCTCAGTGGGAGTCTGCTTAAGGATTTTCTCTCCCCTTCTCCTTCTGCCTACCCCCCTCTCATGCTCTCTCTCTCTCTTTCTCTCAAATAAATAAATCTTTTTTAAAAAAAGAACGTGGGAGAGAATATTAGTCTTTCCATGTATGTATATTTTTCACTTAAAAATAAAGAATTGGGATATCAGCAGGAATGGCATAGTAAGGATCTCCAGAAATCCACTTCTTCATAAAAGCAACAAAAACACTGACAGGGATTGTCAAAATCAACTTTTTTAGAACACTGGGTATTAGCCAAAGGCTTGTAACACTCTGAGTGTTTATTCAAAAAAAAGGCAGCAGAATCTTGGTAAAAGCAGCAAGCTTTGTGGCATCTTAATTTGCCATATACCCCTCACCCTCTCCCCAGTTCTACAGTAGCCTTGAAAATCAATCAACTCATCACTGTGAAAACCAGAAGCCTATCAGCTCCCAGAGGGAGCCATGGGTTTGAAGCTCCCATCCTCTGGCAGGTCTCAGGGAACTGTCATAATTTGACCTGACAGTTTAAATGACTTTAAAAGACCTAGTGTAACTATGTTCAGAGTGTAACTATGTTCACTAGTGTAACTGTGTGAACATAGTGTAATGTAACTATGTTCAAAGAACTTAGGAAATAATATCTAAAGAACTAAAGAGAACAAAGAAACGATTTCTTCCCAAATAGAGAACATTTAAAAAATAAAATTTTTTTAATTAAAAATTCTATAAAATTTCTTTTTTGTGGGGAAAAAAAAAGCCAGATATAAATTCTGGAGTTGAAAAGTATAATAACTGAAATGAAATCTATATTAGAGGAGCTCAGTGGCAGATTGGAGTAGGCAGAAAAATCATCAAACCTCAAGACAGATCAATTGAAATTATATAGCCTGAGGAACAGAAAGAAAAAAGAAGACACATGAACAGAGCCTTGGAGACCTGTGAAACACAATCAAACATAGTAACATACACATAATGGGAGTCCCAAAAAGAAAGGAGAGAAAAGTGTAGATAGAATATTTAAAGAAATAATGACCAAGGGGTGCCTGGGTGGCACAGTCGGGTAAGTGTCAGACTGGGTTTCAGCTCACATCCTGTTCATGAGATCGAGCCCTGCATCAGGCTCCATGCTCAGATGGGAGTCTTCTGGAGATTCTCTCTCCCTCTGCCCTTCCCCCCACTCATATGCTTGCTCTCTCTCAAATAAATAAATAAAATCTTTTAAAAAAATGAAAACTTCCCAAATTTAATGGGAAATATGAATCTACACATCCAAGAAGCTCAACAAAATCCAACAAGGATAAAGGGATCCGTACCAAAACACATCATAATCAAACTATCCGAGGACAAAGACAAAAAGAGAATCTTGAAAGCAGCAAGAGAAGCAGATCGTCAGATACAAGGCATCCTCTATAAGATTAATAGCCAATTTCTCATCAGAAACCATGGAGTTCTGAATGCACTGTGATGACATATTCAAAGTGCTGGAAGAAAAGAATATCAACCAAGAACTCTGTGTCCAGCAAAACTATCATTCAAAAATGAAGCAGAAATTAAAGCATTTTCAGATAAGCAAAAACTGAGAGAATTTATCACTAGCAGACCTTCCCTACAAGAAATGCTAAAGGGAGCCCTCAGGCAGAAATGAAAAGTTACTGGAAAGTAACTGGAATCTTCACAAAGAAATAAAAAGCACAATAATGATAACTGCATAGGTAAATTAAAAAGTATAGATATATTTTCTTTTTCTAACTTTTTCCCCTCCAATCAAAAGTAAAAGACAGCTGCCCAAAGCAATAATTATAAATCTGTGTTGATGGGTATATATAATTTTTAAAGATCTAATTTGTATGATGATAATAGCATAAGAGAGGGGGAAGGGAATGGAACTATGTAAGATAAAAATTTTAGTATACTATGAAATTAAATTGATATTAATCCAAACTAGATTGTTTGTAATGCCCAGGAAAACCACTAACGAAATTACTTCTAAAATACAGTAAAAGAAGTGGTGCCTGGCTGGCTCATTCGGTTAAGCGTCTGCCTTCGGCTCATATCATGATCCCAGGGTCCTGGGATCAGGCCTCACAGTGGGCACCCTGCTCAGCTGGGAGTCTGCCTCTCCCTCTCCCTCTGCCCTCCTCATTCTCTCTCTCTTTCTTTCTCTCTCTCTCTCAAATAAATAAAATCTGTTAGGAGTGGTGGGGGGTGGGAGGGATGGGGTGGCTGGGTGATAGACATTGGGGAGGGAATGTGCTATGGTGAGCGCTGTGAATTGTGTAAGACTGTTGAATCACACACCTGTACCTCTGAAACAAATAATACATTATATGTTAAAAAAAAAAAAAAGTAGGAAGGGGAAAATGAAGGGGGGAAGTCAGAGGGGGAGACGAACCATGAGAGACTCTGGGCTCTGAGAAACAAACTGAGGGTTCTAGAGGGGAGGAGGGTGGGGGAATGGGTTAGCCTGGTGATGGATATTAAAGAGGACACGTACTGAATGGAGCACTGGGTGTTATATGCAAACAATGAATCATGGAACACTACATCAAAAACTAATGATGTAATGTATGGTGATTAACATAACATATTAAAATAAAAAAATAAAGTAAACATGTTTGTTAAAATATATATATAGTAAAAGAAACAACAAAGGAATTGTTACAGTAGAAAATACCTATGTAACATAAAAAATAGCAGATATGGAGTAATTGAGGAACAAAATAGATATGACACATGTGGAAAACAAATAACAAAATGGCAGTAATAACTCCTTCCAGATATAAAATGGATGAAGCTCTCCAATTAAATACAGAGATGAACAGAATGGAGTGTTTTTTGTTTGTTTGTTTTTAAGTAGGCTCCACACCTAGTGTGGAGCCCAACACAGGGCTTGAACTCACTACCCTGAGACCAAGACCTGAACTGAGATCAAGAGTTGGACGCTTAACTGACTGAGCCACCCAAGCAACCCTGGAATTTTTTTTTTAAATGACCTAACTATATGCTATCTACCAGAGACTCTAGATTCAAGATACAAATAGTTTGAAAGTAGAAGGATGGTAAAATATATTCTATGCAAACAGTAACCAAAAAAATAGCTAGAGTGGCTATAGCAATACCAGACAAAATAGATCTTAAGACAAAAACTTTTATGAGAGGATACTATGTAATGTAATGAGAGGATACTATGGTCAATCCATCAAGAAAATACAAGAATTATAAAGATATACAACTAAAAGAGAGCCCAAAGTACATGAAGCAAAAACTGACAGAATTAAAGTGAGAAATAGACAATTTAGAAATAATAGTTGGTGTCTTCAATACCCCATGTTCAATATTGTAGAAAACAGTTAGACTGAAGATCAGCACTGAAACTGAAGACTTAAGAATATAAATCAACTAGGGGCACCTGGGTGGCTCAGTCATCAAGCTTCTGCCTTCAACTCAGGTCATGATCCCAGAGTCCTGGGATCGAGCCCAACATTGGGCTCTCTGCTCAGTGGGAAGCTTGCTTCTCCCTCTCCCACTCCCCCCTGCTTGTGTTCCCTCTCTCTCTGTCTCTCTCTGTCAAAATAAATAAATAAAATCTTTAAAAAAAAAGACTATAAATCAACTAGACATAGCAGACATCTATAGGAGACTCCACTTAATAACA